AATTTTTAAAAATAAAACCAGCAGTTTGGAGATGCTTAGTAAAGAGAAGTAGAAACAATGTCTTTAAAGACTCCAGTATCTGTGTTAAGATATCAGACCAACCCCAAAACACATATACAGAAGTTGTATCTACAACAGTATTTTTCAAATCATTTTGATTACAACCCACAGTAAGAAATATATTTTACTTTACAGCCTAGTACATATGTGTCCCTATGGCTAGCAAAAGCTTTACATACAAATACTATTTCCCTGATGTCTTCAATATACTTTTTTGTTTCCTGTTCTGCTTCATTAAAAAAAAATGTTGGCTGGATCCACTTAATTCACTTCAAGACCCAAACAGTTTGAAAAACACTGAACCAAAGAGATACAAAGGCTATCTGTATTATCATACCATGTTCTAATAGAGGTTTAAAATATTTAAAAAGCAAACATAATCTTAGCAAGGGAAAAAAATGATATACATTGGCAGGGAACTCCTAGGAAGAGGATACTATTTCACATCCAACCACTTAAAAGCAACTTTCAGTTTAAGCTTTTAAGGAAAGTAACTGAAAGATCTATAATGATCTTTTAAGGAAAGGATCATTATAGACCTAAAAACTTTTGGGGGGAGGGGGTATATTTAATACTAATGAACCAAAGCAAAAAAAAAAAAAAAATCAAATAAATGGGGGAAGATGAGAACACCCAACTTGAGATCTAAATTTGCTCCTCTCAACCTCTTTAAAGGTGGAAGGAAAAGACTGAGAGAAAAAAGAATGGGAGAAAATGTTACGCCAATTTGAGAGATTCTCTTCACGTTTGCTGCTGTTTTTAATTATAATGTTATAGATATAATCTCCAAATTCTGGTTAACATTTACCCCCAGAAATAATTTTTAAAACTTCTTGCAAAGTAATTTGGTGACCACTTTTTATGACAGGCAGCTATGGTGACACTTTCATTTCACTTAAAAGATGACCCTGCTTTCTAAATGATTATACTGCATGCAGCCTTCATATAGATTAAACCCTTCAGCCTAAACAACTGTCTTGCATTTATAAACCACCGACACAAAGGAAGCAGAAAGAATGAATTACCAAAACAAACGGGAAAAAACTCCTCTAGCTGTACTTTAGAATGAAATTGAGTGACTGCCCCCAGCTAAATCTCCAACAACCTGTAAAGTACTGAATTACCTATAAACAGGTACGTCTTTCAGTATGCTTGCTTATATTTTAACATTTGCTTAGCACTTAACACAAAGATCAGGTGCTTTCAGTTCAAGAGCAAGTTAAGGAAGTAGCAAGGAAGAAACAACTGACAATATTTTATATCCTGCTACCTAACACAAATTCATTTTTCTATCTGTGAAAAAGAACATACTAAAGTTATTTCAAGCTAGAAATGTCTGAAAAGAAAGAAATTTGAATTTGAGGCAATATTCATAAAAGTACACAGAAAAAGATTCAAGAAGAACAGACTTTATTTTTAACATAAAACTTCTATTTTCTCGTGAGGCAGCAACAAGTGTTCAGGTATAGGGAATACATAAGTACACAGTAACAATATTTATCACCATTGGAAATGCTGTTTTTTGGGAGAATTTTGTTAGGAAAACGAAACTTTAAAAATTGCATTTTAAAAAGATTTACACAGCTTCAACAGAGATGAAAAATAAAGACTTTTAAAAAACATAAATTATATTCTTCAACAGGATTGTATAGACAAAATATTGTTCAGGGCTGCTCTGCTTATCATTAATTTAGGCAGAGTAAAACATAAACCTTAAAGTGCGAAGTTAAGTGTTTTAGCTTTCTTAATGCAAATTCAGCATGTCCACTGGTCTGGTCTTGAGACACTGAAATTCTAAGCATTAAGGAATGAATCTTTAGAATAGTAAATTCAGTAGTGGCAATTTTTCTTTTATTTCCTTTAACAAAAGAAAACTCTGACAACCCACTCTTCATCTTGGACATACAGAAAGCTATAAATTCTGCTACTTTTTAAATACCTTCTTCCAGTAAAAGCCAACCATTAAAAAGAAAGAAAGAAAGAAAGAAAAAAAAAGGCTTCCTTGTTGCCAGTTATTCCACAATTAACAATAGCACCTTCTAAAACTCTGATTTGGCTTGTCACAAATATAAGAAATATTTTAAACAAAATGAAGACTCTAGTTAAAAAATAATTTTGGCATCCATGCTCACCATATTAATCAAAGAAGCAAAACAGGTATTTTAAAAACATAACTGCTCACAAAAGCCATGACAAGTAATATAGACTTAGTAATGATCAGAAACCGTGAATTCATGTTATCACTGCAAGGAAAAAACCGTTTAAGAGTAAAAATAACTTAACACTGACCAAGTTTATAACCAGAGAATAGCTTTCTTTTGCTGAAATATACAAAGCCACCTATTTCTTTCTTTTACCACAATGGAAGTAAATTTATTTAAAGTTTTTAAAAATTTAAATTATATTCCCATTGAAGCTATTCTAATTTATTTACCTTCTGTACAGTTTTCTACAGAATAACAGGATAGTTATGGAATGTAATTTTAGAAAACAATATTATGCATTCTATTGAGAGTAGACCCATTTTAAAAAAAAAGTCAACCACCTGTGAACCAAGGTTACATAAAAGCCGAGTAGACTATGACCAATATTTTTGCAAGATTGCATAAAGCTCAGATACTTAAAAATTAGCCCTTTGGCACTGGCAGTTAAGAGTTTTTTATACCTTGTACCTTCCCCCCCTCCTCAAATCTCAGGCTCTATTTCTCCCAAACATGAGGACTATGTTTAGTTGCCATATAATTCATTTACCTGCAAATTCACATTCTCCTTACAACCAAACATTAAACGTTCCACCTCTAAGACCGTAAATAATTCTATCTTAAACTTGTTCTCCCATTCTGATTGTAAATTACTTTAGTTTAAGGATATATGAAACTCTACAGAAAGATGTGAGTTAGATAAACATGCACAACAGAGTAAGAAGAAAAACTGTTTACAAAGTGGCATTCTAGTTGTGAAACACCCTTGTGACATGTACAGATGGGGAGGGAAGTAAGTGTAAGGCAAGGAAAAGAACACAGATTTAACAGAATTCAGGTAAAATCCAAAAACTGATTTTGGATTTTTTTGAAACCTTATTTTTTAACTTCCTACCATCGATACCAACTCACCCGATTTCAGCTTTACCTTTCTTTTGTACTTCTGACAGAGCAGTTCTCAGTCGTGAAATGGTAAATAGAGGCAAAGAATCAAGGTTCTCAAAGAACCTACTGACCAGAACATTTAGACTTTGAATAACTTAGCTTTTCCTGATTTAGAAGCCACAATGTACTAATTTCAGGAAAATTAGTTTTGGATAGAAAGGGTACCAAAATTCATCGATGCCACCCCAACTGAAACCTGACAGACTTATTCAAATGTTTGAGTTTATCTAATTTGCCTAAATACATCTGTGTTTTCAACTTAACAGGGCAAAATTTTTAATTACTTCGATGTTTTAAAGGTACATGAGTATAAGAAGTCCTTTCAGAAGATTTATTGCTACCACTAGCTTTTCTTTGATGGGATATATCTGGACATACTGACATATTAACCTTCTAAACTATATCCCTTTTACAAGTATTTGTTTTCTCCCTATAATATGTATAGGAACATTAAATTATTGCATCATAAGGTAGTTTGTGAAGATCTTAGAAGGATGCTTTCTATCAACAGTTTGCTATAACTTTTTAAAAAGAGCTGCTCCTCAATTTCACTACCACATACCCAGACATGAAATACTGCTGTCATGTGATACTGGCAGTGACTGTATTAGGATGAGCCTAAATCCAAAACCATGTGGATTCTTCAAAGGTTCCTGTTCTTTATGCTCCAAAGCTCTCCTTGCCTGTTTTCCCCACTGTGTGGAATGCTGGAGGGAAAACTAGCAAAACCTACAGGCAACATATCTCAGTGCCAACCACCATAAAGGAAACGTCAGTCGCAAGATTGTGACAAAGGATTGCTATTCAACGGATCACACTCCTGGCAAACTACTAACCCTGACCAAATCCACAAGACAACAACATCACAAAAGCAAAGGAGGAAATCCATGCACAGCCATTTTAGGATCTCGTGGGGCTATGATACAGTGACGGTTAAAGGTAGAACGACACCTGCGGGAAAGAAAGGAGATCATGTGATAAATATTGAGCAGAAAACCCAAGGGGCTCCTTACTCCTAGCTAGCAGTCGACACTGGGTAGTTAGTTTCCTTTTGGCTCACTGAGTTTTAAACCAAGTTCCAATGATGGGTGAGAACATATTAAAGCACTTGTCTCCAGATTATAATTTTTCTGACCACGTGGTGAAATGTGTACAGGAGTAGTGAGGAAAAGAGCAGTTTTACAAGTATTTCACCCAAAGCACAAACATCTGACATCAAAAAACATAAATCACATAATGTACTAATATTGCCTTTTTATCTCTTTTATATATACTTGTTCAATGCATTTACCTATCAATTCCTGTTTGGGAGAACACAGTCATGAGATTAAGATTGCCAGGAAAACGTCAACAATCCCTTTGGTCCCAAAGCTGAAAACAGCTGAGAAAAGCACACATCTAGAAAGGGAAACAAGAAACAGAGGCCAAAGAATCGTCTGAACATCCTGTTTGCTATGTTTTCAGAAAACGTAACATTGGTATTATAAAATAGTCATTTTCATATAAAAGATGGTTCTTGCAGCATCATTCACGTCTCCCTTCAAGAATCATGTTTGCAGGGATCAGTTTTTTATTTGTTTTTTTCAAAGAAGTCTAATTTGAAAGCAAAAACAATGTGATATCAGCCCTCCAAAAGGAAAGAATGAAACCTTTTTCTTCTTTCAACCGGTGCTTTAAGAAAAAGCAGGCTAAGCACTGAGGGCTGGCCTTCAGGAGTGAGCAGAGCCATCAGAGGGGCTGCTTTCTTCCAGAAGCCGCACTGTGACACGTCAGCGTGGAAATGCTGGAGCACGACACAGCCAACTGGGAGCGCATGATGCCATCGCTGCCAAGGGATCGAGGAGATTCTCAGTTGACCAGAACAGTGGCCTCACGGCACTGGGGCCTATCCTTCAGCTTCCTCAATGGGTTCTGGTGGTGGGAGGAGAGAGGCTGGTGGCGGGACTGTACTCGTTCCTCGAGAGACTCGGTCTTGCTCTGTGTTTGTAGACAGGGAGGCCACAGCAATAGGCTGCAGAAGAGTGGTTGTCATGCCAGTGGTGACTGTCAGACTGTGGCCAGAGCCCTTGAGGGTAAGATCTGGTGTGGGGAGGAGTGGCTTAAGGATGCTGACGAGGCAGAAAGCAGAGCCGCTTTTAGGAATGAAATTCACCTTGTTTTTGTCAGGGCAGTAAAAGGCCGGGATTTCGTGAAGTTGTTTTGGCCTAGACATAGAATAAACAACCCAATACTTTTAAGTCACAGAACATCAGAAGTTCTTTTCTTTTCTTTTTTTTTTTTTAAGTAATAACTTACAGACACAAAAAAGGAAAACAAAACTCAAGCTATGTCCAAAGCTTCAAATGCTATTGACCAAGGACACATGATTCAAATTATTTATCTCAGAATGCTGGAAGGACACCAGATTTTGTTGCTGCTTTCAGTTCCCTGGCGAGCCCCGGGCACCACATAGGATGCTCAGACATCTAAGTGAAGATCTAAGATAGCCAATTTGAATAAAGAATTTCCTAAAGCAAAAGATATTCTAGCTGTTTAAAGACAAAAATATGTTCCACTATGATTTTTCCAAAGTCTGCACTATTTTGAAGGGAAAAGGCAAGGAAATTAATGACATACATTGACTATCTTTTACTGAGTTCCACCACTGCATGACTAAACTTCGGTGGGCATGAGTTCTCCAAGTGCACTTAAAAATCTCTTTGAAACAATTCTCTAAGTTAACAGCCATGATGGTTTTCTGAATAACGTAACATAAATGTAAAATCAAAATAAAACTAATGACAGCCCTCTGTTCTGAAAGTTTTTATTGAAGCCAAATCCTTCCCTGTCCCTAGTTGCTCCTGCAAATTAACCCAAAGAGTTACAAAAGGATACGAGTGTTAATGGTATTCCCTGAAAATATAAAAAATTAAACTGTTAACGTAACATGGAAGTGACACAAAATTAAAAAGAAATTCAAGTGGAAGAACCTAAATAAATCAAGATTCAGGTGGGAAAAGGTAATACAATATGACAAAGTATGGTTCTCATCTCTCTTAATGAAATGAAAAAAAAAAATCCAAATGTGCCAAGTCTGCACTAGATTCTGGAGACCCAAAGATGAAATGATCTACAAGGAGATAACCATGTAGTTCTTGGGAAGAGGGAGGTACTGGAGACAGACTGTATTTCAATATCATTAGTCTCCTTTCTAATCTTTAATTTGTTTTTAAAACATTATTCAGAGAAGCTACGAATTACTTCAAAGGATCCATAAGCTTTACTGGACTGCCAGAGGTGTCCATAGCACAAAAAAGCTTGAGAACTCCTGCTAGCAGGACTGACAGATGTGATAAAAATGGTTTGTAAAAGGTTTAGGGGTAGAACAAGGGAGTGGTTAACCTGCGGCACAGAGAAAGAGGGGGAGTTTGGTAGGAAGGTAGCTTCCAGAGGAAGTAACATCTGAACTGGGTTTGAAAGAATGAATAAACAACAGACCTGGGGAGTAGGTACAAAAAAAAAGTTCCAAGTACAACATTTTTGGGTGGGCATATTTTGCTTTGGGTGGGTATATTTTATTGATTAATAGTGAATACTACCCGTGGATAGCTTTGGCAAGTATAATAATTTAAGAAGAAAAAAATTACATTGTTTAAATTTGTTTTTCTTGTGTACTGGTCTTTCTTGGATACAATGGAAACAATACTTGAGTACATCTAGGGCCACATGTGTATTTGGATATATTATGATAAGAAGAGCACACACCACTCTGTTTTTACTGACAGCATGGATTTCAATTCCTTAAAGATAGGAAGTTGAGATTATGTTTCTTTTTTTTTTTTTTTTTTTTTTTTTTGCAGTACGCAGGCCTCTCACTGTTGTGGCCTCTCCCGTTGCGGAGCACAGGCTCTGGACGCGCAGGCTCAGCGGCCATGGCTCATGGGCCCAGCTGCTCCACGGCATGTGGGATCTTCCTGGAACGGGGCACGAACCCGTGTCCCCTGAATCAGCAGGCGGACTCCCAACCACTGTGCCATCAGGAAAGCCCCATGTTTCTTTTTCTTTTAAATAAATTTATTTATTCATTTATTTATTTTTGGCTGTGTTGGGTCTGTTGCTGAGCACGGGCTTCTCACTGCGGTGGCTTCTGTTGCAGAGCACAGGCTCTAGGCGTGCAGGCTTCAGTAGTTGTGGCACATGGGCTCAGTAGTTGTGGCTCGTGGGCTCTAGAGCGCCGGCTCAGTAGTTGTGGCGCACAGGCTTAGCTGCTCCGTGGCACATGGGATCTTCCTGGACCAGGGCTTGAACCCATGTCCCCTGCACTGGCAGGGGGATTCTTAACCACTGCACCACCAGGGAAGTCCGAGATTATGTTTCTATAATTAAATAATGCTTGTATTTTCTTTTGAAGAATTATTAAAGATAGCTTTCATTCTTATATTAGGAAAAAAAGGGCTAATCAATTTTTATACCCTCCTCCAAATGAGGCCTAGATTTTTAAATAATTTATTTATTGTTTGAGGTTATCTTATTAAAAAGATAAAATTGCCTTAAAAATCACTTAAGACACATGGCTGCTAATGGATCTTGAAGATGAAACCACACATTTCTGAGATACAAACTTCTGACTTGGACATTTTTTAATGACAGAATCTAAAATCAGTTTAACTTCCTTTCTGCTTTTACGAAAACAGACTTATGACAGATCTCACACAAAATAACGTAAACAATAACAACTTGTCTAACTGGCACCCAGATCAAGAAACAGAACACTAACAGTAAAAAAAAAAAAAAAAAAAAAAAAAACCACCATCACCACCCCCGCTCCAGTCATGACCCCAACCCACCAAAAGGAATCATTTTTCACTCCATTTAGCTTCGAGGAGCAGATTCCCCAAGAAACTCGTTACCCACCCCTGGGGGTGTATGACCAGTATTATACTTATGCTACTAGAAACTGCAGGTACTAATACTACTTCAAAGTTTTCTTCAATTTAAGAACCATACGTATCAAAAAACCAAAACACACATACACACACGTGTACACAGAAACCCTCAGAACTATTTTAAATATTTTACTTTTTCCTTAAGAAGTTACTCCGAAAGGACTGTATCTCAAAATAAACATAACTGCTTGCTAGCTGACTTTCTGAGAAACAGATAGTCAGGATGGATAATTATTATAGGTATTTTCATACTGATGTGAGGAATTCTTTGGTGTTTTTTTAAAGGCTTATGTAGTTTCTTTTTAAATTCAGGAATAAATTAGTAGCTAAGAAATGATGATTCCAAATTACTTATAATGGGAGGGATGGAAAGAAAGGAAGAAAAGAAGGGGTTATGTCATAGTTTTTAAAAAATCTCTATACTGAAAAGAAGCCAAAATATCTAGGAATCTAAGGTAACTAAGGTCAAGGAGTTCATTAACTGGGATCAGGAAACAGCATATGTGACTTCATTAAAAAGGACTTGCTGGGACTTCCCTGGTGGTCCAGTGGTAAAGAATCCGCCTTCCAATGCAGGGGACGCGGGTTCAATCCCTGACCGGGGAACTAAGATCCCACATGCCGTGGGGCAACTAAGCCCATGTGCCTCAAACTACTGAGCCTGCGTGCTCTGGAGCCCCCACTCCACAACTAGAAACAAGCCCTTGTGCCACAAGGGAAGATCTCACATGCCACAATGAAGATCCCGCATGCCACAACTAAGACCCAACGCAGCCAAAAATAAATAAAATAAAATAAATAAAAGACTATGCCTCTGGTGCCATATTAGCTATAAAAAAAATAAAGGACTTGCTAAGTGCAACTGGCATGGCTATGGTCTGTGCTGTATCAAAAAAAAAAAAGAAAAAAAAGAAATGCAAAATCTGGACTTGCCCTTTCTGGGGCCAAATCCAACTACCTGTTTTCTTTCAGGTAAATAAACATACACTTCTAAAAACCAGAGATCAACCTCTCACTGACTCCAACCCCTGGTTCAGGTCAGAGTTATTACCTTTAAACCAAAATTAAGACTTGGAGATAAAAGTATACTTTAAAGAATGATTAAGACAAAATTTAAAAATTAGGACCAGGGGCTTCCCTGGTGGCGCAGTGGTTAAGAATCCGCCTGCCGATGCAGGGGACACGGGTTCGTGCCCCGGTCCAGGAAGATCCCACATGCCACGGAGCGGCTGGGCCCGTGAGCCAAGGCCGCTGAGCCTGCGCTCTGCAACGGGAGAGGCCACAACAGTGAGAGGCCCGCGTACAGCAAAAAAAAAAAAAAAAAAAAAAAAATTAGGACCAATAATCTACCCTTGCTTTAATGCTAGTGCATCCAGTTTTGCTCTAATTATGACATAAATGGGGCAGAAAGAAACCAATTTTTTAGACTTTGAGTAACTTGTTTTATTGATAGGTTAAAATTACCTCTAAGAAATCCACTATTGGGTTACTGCTGTTAATTTCTTTTTGGAATATAATTAAGATATTTAAAAATGAATAGATTTCCATGTGCTACACATCCTTTATACCAGTAAAATTTATAATAAACTATGTGCATTTAAAAAAGACTAGGTTTACCTTCTAATAACTGATGGATGTGCCATAAAACATTTTATATGTCAGGGTTTACCTTATGTTTCTTTGATCTATCTATCCATCCACACACATACCCCATCCTTTCTTCCTTCCCTTTAGAAACAAATAACATAGTTGTATGTATGTAGTTCAGTTATTGAGAAATTTTCCAAATGTAACAGTCTAAGGCAGATACCACAGGACACCAACCCACACAACCAATATTCACTCAAAGTCATTTACACAGAAATTCAAACTGCTTTTTAAGTCCATCAGCCATTTCTCTGCACTTAGGCACATCTGAATTACCAATATGTCAATCAAAGATTTCAACTCCATAAGGTTCCATGTGGACCATTTGATTTTTACTTAAAAGAATGACTCCATTTCTTAAGAACTCTCATGACAAGGTCTAAGCCAGCATTTTCAAGTCAAGCATAAAAATCCTATGAGGTTTGTTAAAGATGCATAATCTAGGTCCTACCTACGTCCATATTTTTACTCATTAGGCCTGGGATGGGACCTGGGAATCTGCAGTTTTAACTAATAACCCAGATGATTATGATGCAGGGAGTCTATGCACGTGGAGAAATACTGCTTAAACTCTCTGGCACCAGTCAAGTTTTTAGACTTACATGGTGAAAAAAATAAGCAGTTGCTAAAATGGAGTTTTCAATTACTGTCACAAAAGCAGATAGGAGACTGACAGCTGCGATCTCCTAGTAGAGGAGGTGAAGGGATTAAAAAACAATGCTCTTTGTGTGGCAAAATTACTCAGAATTTAGACTAAAGGAAGCACTGACAGAGGGGAACAGAGAGGAACAAAAGGATGCCATATTTCAAAATGATTCTAAGATGTTCATAATGGAAGAAAAAGATAACATTATGTGATTCAGACAAGCCTGGACAATCTCCACATTGTAGTTTTGGTTTCATAGTGAGAAAAAGCCAGAGGATGGCTTTTAGACTTGCAGCGATAGTGAGATTGGAAGGTGAGGTTTATATAAGTACCATCATCCTCTCCTCAAATAATGTTCATCAGCTAATTTGCTCAGTTTCATACATACCTGAAACCCTGTAGCCACCACTTCCAAAGCAAGGGGCCATAGCTACTGAAAACACAAAGTTGCAATACTTGCTGAGCAGACTCTGAGTCTAAAACTATGAGTACCTGACTAGAGTACTAGCCAACAGAAATATATGAGCACAGAAGACTGCATACCAAGGGTACCAGACGCCGTTTAAAATTCTGCTTCTTCCGTGATCTTCATCACAGGAACATGTTTCTGCAAAGTAATAGGATTCTCTTCCCCACGTTGGCAGGAAAATATTTTTTTTAATTGTTTAGAGAACTGGAGACTATAAGTAGTTAAAAACTGGAGGGAATTTGATCCTTGAAAGAAGGAAACCCACCCTGCATTGAGATCCGTGGTTTACCTTGAATAAATACAATGCTAAATTCAATGTGTGGAGCTGACTGTTTACAGGTTCAAAAGTAACCACGGGTGATACGTTGGGGACAACTGAGGAAACGTGAATAACAACCAGATATTAGTTCACATTAAGCATAACTGTAATTTTCTTTGGTATGACAATGGTATTGTGGTTATGTAGGAGTGGTTACTTTTACTGTGGTTACTTTTAGGAAATGAATATTAAACTGTATTTGAGGTTAAATGTCATGTCTGCAACTTACTTTTAAACAGTTCAGCAAAAACTAAGCAAAATGTTAACTATAGGATCTAGTGGTGGATCTATGGGTGGTCACTGTACTGTTCTTCAGCCTATTTGAAAATTCTCATAATAAAAGTTTTTTTGGGGGGAGGGATGGTGGGGGATACTTACGAGCATTCCTCAAAGACTTTGACCCTCTCACAGCCCTCAGGAGGTTCCCTTTTGAACATGTAACTGTTGTTAGGTTTTGGTGAGGTTGCATATTTGGGCAAAGGAGAGTTGTTCCCATTATCTGCAAGAAACGACATGCTGGATTACTGAGAAACACTAGCACATACGTGCAGAGTCATACTGTATTGGATTGTTCGTGGCCTCCCCCTACACCATGAACAACTTGAGGGTAAGGAATAGTGCTTCATTCATCCATATCACCCCACTACCTAACACAATTCCTGGTAAAGAGGAGATAATGTTTGTTAAATAAATGCATAAACAAGTAAGAGATTTTTATTTTTCTTCTACTTACCATCACCACAGCCTAGGTAGGTTATTATTTAACCTACCATCACTTACTCCTCAGCACTGAACACTGCCACATTTCTATTCTGTACACAGCATATTGGGCTCAAATGCCACTTCCATTCTTCCCAGGACAAGTAATTGAAATGGTTCTTCACTGGTTGTGTATCATTCACTCTTGGTCTGCCCCTCAGAATCGCTCTATTTGATTTCTGTGCCTCTGGCCACAGTCTCTGCTGCAGGTAGTCAGATCCATATGCACACTATATGCCGAAGACTTTCTTTTGCCTACAAACTTCTCTATACCTAAGAGGTCCTTCTCCATACATTTTCCCAAACCTCCTTCAAAGTCTGGCTCAGAGTTTTTGAAATCTTTCTAAATTAACCCTACCTAAAGGAACACTTCTTGACTCTGGTATTCCCGTCCAGTGCTGATGTCCTCAGTTTCTATTATATTAACTTGAAATTCTAGACATGTTCCCTAAGTGTCCTAAATGTAGAGTCTGACTGTGCCAACTGAACTACAATTCCTTGCTGGCAATATAGCACTGTAGCCCTTTCTCATAATAGAAATCAGAGGAGCTAACCAGTCGCTAGTCTCCTAAAGTCAAATACAGCAGGACACATAACTTATGGAGTTCCTATATGTTATTGAAGTAAAAGTAGAAAGTATGGGAAATCAAGGGACAGATTATAATAGCCATGGTTTAGTTTGTGAGGAGAAGGGTACATCTGATTGAGCGCTAAGTACCAGGGGCTGCATTCACTATCCCCCTTGTTTTTTTTTTTTTTTTGTGGTACGCAGGCCTCTCACTGTTGTGGCCTCTCCCGTTGCAGAGCACAGGCTCCGGACACACAGGCTCAGCAGCCATGGCTCACGGGCCCAGCCACTCCACGGCATGTGGGACCTTCCCAGACCGGGGCACGAACCCATGTCCCCTGCATCGGCAGGTGGACTCTCAACCACTGCGCCACCAGGGAAGCCCTCACAATCCCTTTTAATCTCCACAATAAGTATCAGAAGTAATTATGCCAACTCCTGACAAGAAACACATGGCCCAATCAAAGGATTTAGTTCAGTGGGTGTCAAACTTCTGTGCAGGTGAATCACCTGGGGGCACCAAAAACACCTAGTGCCTGTGTCCTGTCCCCAGGGATTGTGATTTAATTGGTCTGGGGTGTTGGTCTGGAATAGCCATGTTTTATTTAACCTAGAAGATGACAAAAAATTTTACAACTGCCCACTGTCTGAAGTGACTTCTTCAGAAAATCTTATGTCCTCTGTACTTGCTACAGTCTAAGTACTTTAGGTGACTGGCAGTAATGAACAGTTGTCATTGGACATGGAACATTTCAGGACATTCAACACATTGCAAGTAGAAAGTTCTAAATGAATGACTACTAAACTAAGCTGTAGAATGTATTTAATAATAAATATCTTATTATTGCTCTCAAGTTCATGTAATAATAACTATGATTAGGCTAAAAAAAACCACTGCCCTGATACAGAGAGATGACAGACCCTATTTGTTTTAAAAGGTAAGAATATTATTAGTAACTAATATGCAAAGTGCTATGTCTCCAATTACTTTCTGAGTCGGGCAAGTGGTTTAATACTGTAAGTAGCCCACCACCACCAACTTTTACTCCAGGCTTGCCTGGAATACTCATCTTACATTGATATAAGTCAGCTTAATTCTTGTTAGAAATATCACAGGGCTTCCCTGGTGGCGCAGTGGTTGAGAGTCCGCCTGCCGATGCAGGGGACATGGGTTCGTGCCCCGGTCCGGGAAGATCCCACATGCCGTGGAGCGGCTGGGGCCGTGAGCGATGGCCGCTGGGCCTGCGCGTCTGGAGCCTGTGCTCCGCAACGGGAGAGGCCACAACAGGGAGGGGCCCGCGTACCGCAAAAAAAAAGAAATATCACAAATACAGATCCTAAAACACACTACTGTAACTTGAAGGTTTCACATTCAATTAAAAAGTAGTTAAGATTGTAAAAACATGACAACTAAGGTGATAGAGAACAAATGCTTATCAGGACAAATGTTTATCTCATTTATACCAAAAAGAATGTCTCTCACTAATAAGGAACTTGTATTAGTAAGTGCAAAAAAGGAAAAAAAAAGGTACAAACAAAAGCCCATAAACCTACCCAACTAGACCATCACCTGAGCACCACAGTAAAACCTACTGTTTTGTACTCCAATTTTTTTAAATCTATGTTTTGAACACATCTCAAAGTAATTATCTTAGTAGCCCTAAGTGTGTGTGCTCTGCTAGAAAATGAACAGAATGCATGATACAACAGGTGGTATTCACTTATCATCATCTGGTAGCAAACTTCTCCTGCACTGTACCTTTATCCCTGGGATCAACAAGCAGGTCATCAGCCGAACAAGGGCTCTCCTCGCTCCCCTCGTTGGAGATAGTGAGGAAGGACGTGGGGGACACAGACTGAGAGCGGCTGCTGCTGTTGCTCCCCCGCTCTGCCCCGCCGGGGGTCTGCGTGTCGATGCTGCGCGTGCTGCTGCTTCTCTGCACAAGGGGCGGAGGTGCACGATGGCCATCTGGAATATCTTGTGGCTGTTACGAAATTTTAAAAACATAAGTATTGGGCTTCCCTGGTGGCGCAGTGGTTGAGAGTCCGCCTGCCGATGCAGGGGACACGGG